GCTCCCTCCCGTTTGCGAGGCGAGAGGGGAGTTTGAGCTCAGGTAGATCTCGAGAACTGCCCTGCTGCATAAGCTAATGAACAGATAGTGATTGCTCTTAAGAGATAACTACTTGCTAGGAGCACGTCTATGGTGGCGATTTGGTTTAGTCTGTTAACTTAAGTTGCATGTTTTTGGGTGGTGAGAGGATACCGGGGAACCCTGGGGAAACCCATATGAGCACGGGGAGAACGTGTAAACTCCGCACATAAGTGTTGGCTGGCTTGGTAAGGACTAGAAGCAGTGACAGTCTTGGTCTGAGGCAACAGAGCAAACCACTGGGCCACTGTGTCACCCATCTAGGAAAGGAGGAGGAGTAGGGGTGGAAGGGGGGATTCTTTAAAACAAAGATGGCTGTTATATGAAATCTAAGAGTATTTATAGTGGCGTAGTATATTGGTGAATCATATATTGGATAATGCAGGCAATCATAAGCATGTGATCCTCTCGAAACTAGTTTATAAATAAACTTCACAATGTGATACCCTCAGTAAATTTTTTTGGCTTTTATTGGAATATGATAACTTGATATGCAAAAATCGTAAGTTTGAATCATCCCTGCAGGCACAGGACCGTCAACATGACATCATATTGACGTTACACCCCAATGTCGTAGGGACGTTGGATTTTGTTTGAAATGAAAATCGAGTTGACGTCAAAACCCACTGTCATGCCGACGTCAATGTCCAACGTCCTACCAAAAATCAACCAAATATCAATGTCTACTCATGTTATACCTTGACGTTGTGTGGCCGTTGCCACTATGACATCTATCAGATGTTGGATTTTGGTCACTTTCCAACACAACCTAAAATCACCCAAATATCAACATAATTTTACATTGTTCATAAATGTCAAAATAACATTGTCCTTAGACGCTGGCTAGACATTGAATTTTGGTCACCTGACATCATGACCTAAATCTAACCTAGCATTAACATCTTGATGTTGTGTGCCTGCTGGGATATAAGTAGGGCCAGACGGAATCTGCGGACGTTTTTTGCTATTTCTGCGCAGAATTTTGGTAAAAATTTTGGTATAAGTGGTTGTGTTTGCACATTTATTCATGCAACATGTAAACTGGAAAGCATCCTACATATTTATTGGTGTTTTGTAGAATTGCGAAATTTCCTTTTTTACAGCAGCAACATTTTAATCTCTTTGCTAAATATGATTTTACTCACAAAAATATAAAGAAAAGACAGTGACTCAAAACAGGTTTAATTAATGGAAATCAGTAGGGTCGTGTTACTTCAGTGCATCTCTAAAGCAGTCCAATCCACTCAAAAGTCACAACAAGTGCTACAAACAAACTTGTACATCAAGCGAACGGTTGTTATGAAATGCATAAACGCCAAGTCATGTTAGCAGCCACTTCTGTTCAGCAGCAGGTCATCTTTAAGCAACTTATCATCGAAGCTTTTTACAAACATGAATAAAATATTGAAAAACATCAAGTTCTATATATTCCATTCTGAGTAATCTTAAAAGTGTTATCAAAGATCCACACATCACATCTAGTTTTAATAAGCAAACGTTAACAGTTCTATATGAAATGCCCATATATTCTAAACGTCAGGGATTCCGAAGGAAATGATCATCTCAAAACATCCTCCATTATACTCTCTGATCCCAGTGATTGTTGTTTTACACAATTACTGTTGTATACATTTTAATTTAGAGGCAATTTCTCACGGAGAGATTGACAGCTTTTAAACTGAAAAGAGACACTTTAGCAAACAAAATAAATAAAGTGAAGCGCTTCACTTTTACTAGGGCTGGGACGATAAATCGATGTATTGCAAATTGAGACATTTTCTGAATGCATTGCGGTTCTCTCTTGAGCTTCTGAGCTTAGTTTTACCACTAGATGGCGCTGTTTACTTTCTAAACAGCCACACTCTACCAATCTTCACACCCCATTTGAACATAAAACAGTCATTAAATGATTTAATGAAAACGTTTAAGTGAATTAAAATAGCGTTCATAGTGAGCTGTGTTTACATTAATCCTGTAAAATAAAAAACATGGCACAGGTGCCATTGACAGTACAGTATATGACAGAAAGTAAAAGCACCATTCAGGTGCAAGGTGAGTTGTATGCAATGATTTTTAATGGGGACACCTAAGCCCACCCCTACCACTCACAGTGACGTCGCTAGCTCTACTGAGTGCAATGTGTCTGACATTGCAAGTCTGATATACAGTGCTCAGCATATATGAGTACACCCCCCACACATCTCTTATTTAAACTAATATTTTCTACAGGATGCTTTACAATGTTATATTTGTGCATATGCATTAGATTAGTCAGTACTGAAGAGCTAATCTAACAAAATATCTTACAATAATGGTTAAAAATTTGTAGCCCAAATTTATGTTAAGGAAAAATGTTAAATACAATTTTCAAAAATAGCAAAAATCAAGAGAAACACAAATATATACAATTTTGTTGAAATGTTTGTAATTTTTTTTGCAATATGTTACATGAATTTAAATGTACTATCTTCCCATTTCTAATGTTCTGTGACTAAAATATTATTTTAATAAATATATGTTTAATAAATCTGTTTTGTTTAAATGCACCAATATACATTATTCATATTTACTGAGAAATAGATAAAAATATTCACTTTCAAAATGGGGTGTATTCATATATGCCATGCAGTCTGCATTCAGATACTATTGGAGATCTTTATGCGCAACAGGGTTGCATTCCACTCCACTTTTAGACACGCACTCACAAACTTCCCTTGCCTTTTTCCCTCAGGGGAAACCCAACTGCCATTTTAAGGTGTATTCTACTTTATCAAGTGAAGAAGGGAAGTTCACACAAACATACACTCGATCCTTCGATATTAACTGAGGGACCTTCATATGTCCACTCCTGAACCTATATGTTTCAGATGGCAATGTGATTGTGACATCACAACACTGTAGTTCCCAAGTGCTCAATGGTTTACTTTAGGGCATTCCATTTAAACTCATTCAGATGTTCTGCTAATAGAGTATAGGCAGAAGGACTATTAATTTTCCGGTAAACTGTATGCCTTTACAAAATCCCCACTTTTATTGTCTGTTTTCTTTAAAAACCAATGATCTTCACTGCCTGATTGATATACCGTATAAAGTGGGTCCTAAATGGTACAAAAAGCACTACATTAACAGAGTATATACAGAAATCAGAGTGTGAAATTCAATTCCTTTTAAGACCTTTTTTAAGACTCTTTCCATACATTTTAAGATCTTATAACCACTTTTCAACTGGAAACACTGGCGATATTTAAACTTACAGAATATTTACTCAATATTAATGTAAGAAACTAATCTAAAACTAAAATGTTATTCCTATCCTGAATAAAAATCTATTAAACCAAGCTAAATAAGCAGGTTGGCGCCTATAGAACTGCAGAAATAATGGTGTTGCCTTGGTTACTGAAGTACAAAAAGCAGCATGATGTCAAATCTAGCAGGATTTTATTGATTTCATAAACTACACCGCATCCTGATATTAGCAGATTTCAGGCAAACTATTGCATACAACCATACATTGCATAATCAAAGATAATATAAAGTTTAACACCTTGCAAAATAGCATTTAAAACTTATTAATTATTTTTAAGGGACTTAAAATTCTCTACAATGATTTATCAACTTTTAATACTTTTTAAGACCCAGCGGACACCCTGAGAAAATTATATTTTTCAAGGCCATGTCTTTAAAACATGACAATTTATTTTACTCCAGTATTTTCAATGGAGTTTCTGCACTAGCCTGCTGATCCTCATAGTGTTTGCTTGTAAACAAACATCTCGTTTTACATCTAAATCATCTAAATTTTAATTACATTATAATTATATTTATGAAGTATAAAATTGAAAAAAGTCACATTAACTGTTCACCTGAAGGTTATCGGTAGGGAAAAACACTGGTTCTGCATATAGCCTATACCGGACACTTGTGTAATGTAAACAATGAAGTACATCCGCGATAAGACAAAATTGGACTAGCCTTAAGAAGGCATGGGACGATAATCATTTTTAATGTGTAACGTGGTTTGGAAAAGTCAAGGTTTTAATCTCCTATACCCTTTTTTACATTTTGTTTGAAGTTTTTTTAGGACAACTGTATCTCCAGCAAAAAAGATCTCCAAAGATGCCATTTTAAAGGTAAAGAAATCTGTGTTTTTGAAAATAATGAAGACAACAGATTTCATTGATTCATTTGAATGGTTTAGCCTAACATATTTAGTTCTAAAATATTTTAAAAGTTTCTCAAAATAAAATATATTGTGTTCAAAGGGGGAAAAGTTTTTCTTTTTTACACAGACGTTTATTAAGAAGATATTTTAGAGCAGTAATCACAATACTGTGAACTCGTGATATTTTTATCCACGATTATCATACTGTCACAATCTTATACAGGCCCATGCCTAGCCTAGAGCGCCATCTGCTGTTAAGAACTAAGCTTGAAATTTATTCCAGAGAGAACTGCAATGCATTCAAAAAATTAGGAATCGATCTATAAATCCATAAACATCGATTTATCATCTCAGCCGTACTTTTTACAGACTGGTGTGCTTTATACACTAACATTCCCTCAGAAGTCACATAATCCTTGGTGAAAAGACAATGTGGGAAAGCTGAACAACTACACATTAACAGTAACTGAGGTAAATCATTCCTTTCAAATTTCCATTTAAATAAGTTCATTAGGGTTGAGATTGATTGTGTCATAAAACACTAAGGAATAAGTTAAGAACAAACAAAGCAGAAGTACAGCTGGAAAACAGCAGTCGTCAAATACATGAATACATCACTATCTAGTCGCTTTAAAGAGATAGTTCACCCAAAAATGAAAAGTCTGTCATCATTTGCACATCCTCCACTTGTTCCAAATCTGTTAAGTTTGGTATTCAGTATACTGAATAATGCTAAATAGAAAAAACTGCCATTGACTTCTATGGATTTTATAAAAGTTTGTGACCACTTGAGAAATGTTAATTTTTTTAGGGAACTGTCCCTTTAAAGGGGTTTTATATGGGTAGTGTTTGAAAATAAGGGAACTCTGTTAGCTTGGTCTGTTTGGCAACGTGAACTGGAATGAGAACTACTCCACCCTTGTAATGTTTATATTGCTCGGAGAACACTGTAAATAAAGTGCATCATTTTTGTGAACTGCAATCACCCTGACATCTGGTGGTTAACTAGCAGACGTGCAGTAAACCCTTGACTAGTTCTATGAGTCGTGGGGTGGAGAGGTGTAGGACAGGGTGATGTGTTACACTTTTAGGGTAAGCTTTAGCCTGTTAGTGGAGTGTTCAGACTGTACTCATGCAGAGCTGTAGTGTTTCCTCCACAGTCCACGTACTGGTACATCTCCTGAGACACCTGCTCAGCATGCCCAAAATACACCGTGGTGACGGTAATCCTGGAAAGACACAAACAAAGTTACTACAATTAACCAAGCACATTTAAGTGCAACCACTGTGCTGAATCAAACATGCTTTACATGCATGAGCACCAGCTTTTTTTTTCTTATTGAAAAAAGATGTAGCCATTCAATGTTCAAGTTCTGGGTTTTTCATTAGTTATACAATTCAATATATAATAGTAAACCTTCTCAGTCAAATGGGGATGTTTTACCTGAATACTGAGAACTTTTCATGAATTTTGGCCATTTATTTACATGGACATTTTTTTAATTCATTTTAATTTATTCATGAGCCAAATTGAGGTCTGGAGTCACATTTAGTTTCCTTTATGTTACATGTGATTGAGGGTAGGTTTCATATATTGAGCACTGCTGATAACTAGATCTTCTTAAATGGATAGCACACCCTAAAATTAAAACTTATTCACCATTTACTCACCCTCAAGTGAAATAATATACACAAATATCCCCCAAAAAATACTAAAACATCTAAGTATTTTGCTAACTTACAAACTTACATTATTTCAAATGTTTCAAAGAATGTTCAAATCCAAAGAGATAAGCAATTTTAACTATTCCCATAGATATCGCCATGCTAATGTCACATACCCTCATTTTCCAGTTTGTTTTTATAAGAAAACAGAGAAACCTAAGAGACTTTAATATGAGGTACATTTGATTAAACTACACAGAGCAGCATTATAACTTAAGCCTAAAATGTATTTAGTATAATAAAGGAGCGCTGGCTGCTTTTCCACATTATCACGACTGGAAGAACCGGAAGGGGTAGACTGGCATAATAAAATCTCTACTGCTTTTCTCGCCCTCATCTTTGAAATTGCTTTAGCACTCTCGTTTCAGCCTTACTCATACTACCATTATAATAAAATTTCAATATTTCAGCACATCCGTGAACATGATTTCAGGGGTCCCATAGGATGTAATAAAGAAAAAGTCACCAAACTACGCATTTGTTTGTTGTTAATATGCATACACTCTACTGAAAAAGTAACACACTGTGCCTTTAAGTACACTGTTTTTCTATAAATTTACCTTAAGTTTATGTTTGTAAAAATAAAAAAGTGCTTACACTTATTTATAATTTATCACCATTAACAATATATTGAAATACATCTGTGATTTGTGTAGATTTTTTCAGAAGAAACATGTTTACCTAAAAAATAATAATTTAAATAGCGCATGCTGATAACTCTGCAAAGGTATGTACCATTCGCAATCTCATAACTCCCCATAGGTCTCTGTAAATTATCATTATAATTCAACCCCTTTTCTTATTGCCAAAACATCTAAAGCTCAACATATATTCTCCAAAATACTTACTGCATCATAACCACAATGTTGTGCACCTTGATGCTCTGCAGTGTACAGTAGTCACTGTAAAACAAATTGAAACAGTCTTTTAAAAAATATGTACATATTATGCATACTATGTTAAACATTTGAGTATACTTACTACATATAGCTCATTTCATCTGCTATAGTGGTGGGCACCATGTAGTCAATCTGCAAAAGCAAACAAACAAAAACAAGGATTACTAAATAAGAATCAAAGTTAACACATGCTTCTAAAATGACCATGTTTAATGGCTAGTAACAGTAAAGTTGTACCTGCTTCATATCCAGGGGACTAATAGTAGTAATATTGCTGATCCGGGTTTTTCCAATCACGGTCTGGGAAAACTGCACCCGAGCTGTGATGTTGGCCACATCCACTGAATAGTAGTTATTGTTAGTAATATTCAGAGAGTTCTTAAAAAAAGATAAAAGAAAGACCATTAAACTGGATAGACAGGCTGAATTATTGAAAATTAAGTACAAATTAAATGATTTAGTGTTGTGTATTTATTTTGTTACTGAGAGAGAAAGAGAGCTGCACATATTAACAAATTCATCTAAACATTGCTGTCAGCAGTGTGGTGAAATGATGTCCATTATCTGTTTAGTGCTATTTTATTATTTAAATTTATCCATGAGCCAAATTAAGGTATTAAGTCACATTTAGTTTCTTGTATGTTACATGCGCTTGATGTCAAGTTCCAAATATTGACCACTGCTGATAACTAGAGCTTCTTAAAGGGATAGTACACCCCAAGATGAAAACTTACCATTTACTCACACTCAGGTTGTTTGAAACATTTAGGAGTTACTTTTTTTCTACAGAACATGAAAGAAGACTGTTGGTAACCCAAATGTTTATGGTCTCATTTGGCTTCCATAGTTGGGGAAAAATACTATGGTAGTCTGTGAGGACATTTTGGTTAGACTTTCTTCAAAATATTTTTTGTTCATCATATTGTTTATCAGAAAAAGAAAAAGACCACGTTGAGGGTGAGTAAATTAGGAAAATTGTTATTTTGAGGTGAACTGAACCTCTGTAAATGGCCTTTTGCTGAAACAGATAATACACCAAACACTTTTTTTTAAACCTGTGTACAGTGAAAAGTGCTCTGTGGGAACTTACAGTCACATTGAGATACACGATGCGTTTGCTCTGGTCGTAGGACACGTAGACAGACTTCACTCCCACATAGTTGACATCAATGGAACGAGGGAAAAGGAAGAACACAGCCAGAGTGCAGAGTAGCAGGCACAATATGACTGAAGCCATCACATATAGTTTGCTGTGAGACATGTACATAACACTGATTTAGTTAGAGTTCAATCAGAATCAAACAAATTTCCATAAACAGAAATGAGACCTTCTTCATGCCATTAACGTGTTTTTAGTGATCCAATAACCGGTCAGCCAAGACACATTACCATTTATGATTGGTATTAACATATATGATCATGGACTACAAAACCAGTAATAATTTGTAGAAATTAAGATGTATTTTGATTATATTTTGTTTTCGCAAATCCCCTAGAGACCACTGTGTATGCTTTTTGAGTTCTCAAATTTTTCTCACGAGAGCCTTTCGCAACTGCTGTTCTCGCGTAAATCTACCAGAGGCCGCTGCAGACTGACTTAATGACTGAATGAATGACTGATCGACTGACCCACCCTCCTCCTTCCCTAAACAAAAACAATAGTGTTTTCAAAAGCACCGATTGACCCACCTACCCACTTCCCTAAACCCAACCGACAGTTTTAAAAAGCAATCCAGAAAAAGAAAAGCCCTTGCCTGGTTTTTACCATGTTTTCAGATTTTACCACATTCTCACCCTGTTATTTACTTGTTAATTTTTATTTTTGGCTTCTGTTTTTTGTCTTATCTGCTTTCAGAAACCGTTTTTACTGGGCTTAAACTGGGCTCAAACGTTGTTTGTTGTTGAGTCTCAGAGAAAAGTACACGACGAGCTACTGGACAAACTGGTAACAGCAAAAAGCCATCCAAATGGAGGTAAGCGGTTAGCTGGTAAGCCTGAAAGGGAACGGCGTCATACGGCCCTGTAGCAGTTGTTTTAAAGACGAAATGCAGCCATACATACTTCTGGCTACATAATTCGCAATCTCTAGAAATGTATATAGGACTACATTTTCAGAATGAGTCTATGTTGTCTGAGTGCATGCTAAATACATATTTGATTGATGTTGGGTTTGTTAGGATAAGACAATGAAATGAAAAACTAAAATCTGAGGGTTCCTAAAAATAACAGAATAGTGAGAAAATAACCTTTAAAGTTGTCCAACGTTAAAGTTTTCAGTAGGGCTGGACGATTAATCGAAATTGAATCGCAATTTGAAACGTTGAGATTAGTTAATCGCATGAGGCTGCGATTTGAAATATATATGTATTTTTTTAAATTTCCCCTGCCCAGAGCAAATGCGTGACTGCCTTCTGTGTGTGAGAGACTTATTAGCCAACTAAGTGAGCAAACTTTCGTTCTGCCCAATCAGAATTGTGAAACCGAACTATGCGGAACAACCACAATAACAATAATAAAAAAGCAACTAACAGGAAAGCATGGACAATTTAGATAATGGTGTCTGCTGCTTCAAAAATATTAATAGACAAATTAATATCAAAGAAAAACAGCATTGGTAATATCAGAATATTTTGGTTTTAAAGTATCGATGTCCAGATCCGATCACACAGTTTCAGACTCGATCAGAATCGGATGTTACCTCCCGATCAGGACTCGAATATATATACATATATATATATATATATATATATATATATATATATATATATATATATATATATATATATATTCTCAATATTTTTTAACACATCTATAGTTATGCGATGGCACAGAGTTAGATCTCTTTTTTGAGTTCACACAGAAACAGCAATTGCCAAAAGACGCTATTAGTTAAATGCCAGCAAAGTAGAACACGGAAGTATCTTGAAGGGGAAAGCGCGAGTATGAAGCGGAAAACGCAAGTATATGCAGTATATGTCTGCAGTCTGGAGGTATTATAAAGTTGATGGCCACAACAATGCCACAGAAAACTCTGAGATATGTACATTTTGGATTGCTGCCGGGTATATTAAGTTGAGGTAGTATTTGTTTTTATTTTAGATTCTTTTTATATTTACTGTTACACTAAAGTCCAAAAGTGAAGAATTGATATTACTTATTACTTGATTATTTAAGCTATCTCACACAAGTGCTCTGTTTGTTAACAGAGTTGTTGAATGTTAAAATAAGGTGAATTAAATAAAAAATAAGGAACATCCTGGATCTGTTTCTTCGCTCCTCTTTATTCTTTTTTAAATGTATTTTAGAAGTATTGGATTGGGTTTCGGTATCGGTAGATACTTAAAATCAAATGACTTGGACTCGAGTGCAAAAAAACCTGATCGGGACATCCCTATTTCAAAGTCACAGACACCAAACAAAAAGAGGTATTTTTTAAGAGCTGTTGCATAATTGTTGCCAGAGCTTGCAGATTATAGGGCTGAAGCTTGACTACAAAATTGAACCGTAAATCAATTGTGTTGTCTGTCAAAATAAATAGCAATTAGATATTTTCCCCAAATCGCACAGCCCTAGTTTTTAGCCATGCATATTACTGATCAAAAATTACATTTTGATATATTTACAGAAGTAAATTTAAAAAATGTCTTCATGGAAGATTATTTTCATTTAATTTAATATTTTATTGATTTTTAGGAATTTCCACAAATATACCCATTCAACATAAGCCTTGTTTTGAGTTCAATGGTCACATATGTTCAAATGCATCTTTTGTGACTCCTTGAGTCTATCCTTCAACTGCGACTTTAGTGTTAAACTGAACTGAATCATTTTTAACTAACTAGAACTACACCAGCATTCTACTACTATCCTGCTACCTGTTTGATATGTTAAATATGTCTCACTAAAATTAAATATTGTCATCTTTGTCATCCTTGTTGTTCATCCTTGTAAAGTGGCTTTGGCACAGTCTACATTGTATAAAGCGCTATAGAAATAAAGGTGACTTGACTATTTGATCAAAAATGCATCAAATAGCAGATGTAAATGGAGCCTATAGTAGTAAATAAGGCTGCTGTGTATCGTTTGAGCATCGATATCGAAATGTGTGTATCTGCAATAGTCACATCACAGGATTAGATTATTTATTAAAGATTTAAAGATAAAGATATTATTCAATTTTATAATTATTTATACAATGATGACTATGTTATTTTACATTTGATTGTTCAATGTCTGTACTTGAATACTGCTAGACTCCCTAGGAAAAAAAATAGCATTCATTTATAATTGCTTGTAATTTATTAAAATTTATGCTGATGCACTGCATGAACAAAGCTTGATCATCCCAGTTGATCGAAATTAATGAAATCTTTCCAAATAGAGCTATTCAGATCATCTGGTGAAATTTCATTCATATTGCAATATATATTGTGGCAAAAATAAATATAGTCAGATTTTTCCAATATCGTGCAGCCCTAAAAAAATATCTAAATGCATTAGGTTAAAATAATCTTACGTTCTCCTTGGTCTCAGCCTCTGGTCACTGTACGGGATCAGGGCCACGAGCTGATTTTCTTGGCCTGCATAAACATGTCAGAGTCTGTCACATGGTGTAAATATTTAGTGATGGATTACATTTCAGATTGGGTTACTTTAAAAGCATTTCAATCAACAGGTGCTGTCTGGGTGGAAGTAAGTTACAAAATGCACCTCGCGGGATCCTTCCAGTGCCCTGGCATGTGGGGCAAGTTACGCTGTCCCGGCCAGTGAACTCCACATAGGGGAACTGAGACACGTCTCCGCCACTCTTGCTGTCATCGGTCTGCATGGCACTGTAACCCGGGGACGAGGTCAGGCTGTCCTGACACTCATCGTGACAGGTATGCTTAGCCACATGGGAAAGAGCCTTCCCCATTGTTTACACCTGGTGATCACAGCAACTTTTTAGTATGGATGGAGATCACAAATTATACACAGAGCAAATTTTGTAAGCAAAAACTAAATATCTCTAGGTAAAACAAAATGCCCATGTCTAGTATTACCAAATTAGAATTAGAATCTTTCATGGATAAATACGCAGATTTTTAAGAGCAGAGATATTATTTGTAACATGGAACACAAAGCAACAAAACCATGAATAGTGTACAATCTTTAGAAACAAACAAAATGGGATTTAATAAAGGATCAACTGGAATAGAGTGTTCAAAAAAAAAAAAATCAAATACAAGAGGATCTTTTAGAAAAGCAAATGTTGCATTTTACAGAACTGAACAGAAATAAACGCTTTAATAAGTAATTTTTTAAAAATAATAAAATCTTAAACAGAATAAATGAAACAGGATATCTAGCTGTGGACCACATTGAAGAGAATATTCAATCACAAAATCAAACTGGACAGACTCTTTAACATAGACCCAGAATAGAATTTGTAAAAAAGAATACAGAATAGAATTTGTAAAAAAGAATATGACACAATCTATGACACAAAAAAAAAGAATCCAACAGACCAGAATGTTTTAAATGTTTAAAAAAAAGACAGACCCTTTATATAGATTCAAATATTCATACATTTTAAATTTTCTTAACAGTGTTTTATGAACATACATAATTATTTTGATAAGATATAACAGAACAATTCCAGCGTTATGGATTTGACATTTGCAGTAAAAACTCAAAAAATAAATTCACATAGAAAGTGTATGTTGACATTATATTGAAACTTTTGTTTATATTTTCCAGAACAACTGACCACAGAGTTAAGGGACCAGAAAAATATCAATCTGGATTTTGTACTTTAAATGAGGAAAATAAACATGCGTTAGTTATGGACGTGACAAAAATAAGTCAGTGGGTTTACAGTGTACAACATACTTTGTAGAGATTATGTGAATTAAACTACACAACCCAAAAGAAACAATAATAATCAAAAGGATAAGAGTTGGCTCTCTATAAAACAAAAACGATTGGTTTTATTTTATTTAATATTTTCACTTTCATGAGGAAAAAGTGTCGTTATGGATGTGACAGATGACAAAATTAGCACTTGTGTGACTTTGGTGAATCAAATAGAATAGTTTGAAAACATTAGCGCTGTTCACACAGGCGAGGACGTTACAGAATTTTTCTGGAAAAGAGCATTCACACATCCAATCCAAAATACCGGTAAATTCTGACATCATTAACCAGAAATGAGCTTTAGACGGCTGCGCTTGTATTTGTAAACATTGGACTACATCACAAACTCTGTGGATGGATTAGTATTGTGAACAACTCTGATGAAAACATAGAGAAACACTTTGCATGTCGAGATGTACATGATATGTGTGTGTGCTGGCGCTCATGGGCTGTTTCATGGGCACACACAAAGCTTGAAGGTAAACAAACAACGGCTTATCATAAGCATCTCATTGATAATGAATTACAGGGTTGGCATTAAGATGAACATATAATCGTTATCTGACTAATTTCTAGCAGCTAAATGTGTCTGGAAAAATATTCAAAGGCTTTTATTCTCATAAACCGCGCTGACATGAATGACATGCGCGCGTGTGTTTGTGTTTGTGTGTGTGTTATTTAGTCTTTTCCCTATACCCTTCACATTTTAGGCTGAAATTTGTTGGTAAGAAATATACAACAACTAATGACAAACCTTTATAACCTGTGCAGAGTTACTGAAGTTTGTCCTGCGAGCTTGCGTTTTTTTTAGTTACTTCTTTGGTTTGGTGCATTAATCTTATCATTACTATTATTCAAAAGAAGGTAATGATTCGCACTCAATTGCTTCGTACTGTTTTTATTTTTACTTTTTCTTACATTTTACGGGTGATAACAGACAAACAGACGTTTCGGCACAAAGCCTTCCTCAGTGTGTGCACCTTTATAACCTGATAATGTATAAACCTTTATAACCTGAAAATGTTTTTTAAGCAAGTAACAAATTTACTTTGTTGTATTCATTACATTTCACAGAGCAATGTTTGTCATGATGTTTTGTTATAACGACAACTAATTTATGTATAGTTCATAAATTAGGTTATTCAATTCCAGTTCGTTTGTATAGTGCTTTTCACAAAGATTACTGTTTGTTTCAAAGCAGCTTTATAAAAGGTGCACATTATTCCATTGCAATCATTTTTTAAAAAGTTATGGTAGTTAGTTACCACGACTTTATAAGTTACTAATAACTTTAACTAGTTAACTAGTAACTAACAGCCTTTAATAGTTAGTTGTTATATATAAACATAGTTAACTTGCAGTTATATAGTATATAGATGATGTCTATGCGTACATGAATGTGTTATAAATAAGTTATAAATTAATTAATCAAAACATAAATAAATGCAAATTAATTCCATTCCATTAATGTAAGTTATTTTCAGATTTAAATACAATTTCATTTCTAAAATATATATATTAAAGTATATATAGAGTAAAACTAAAAACGTTAACTTAGTAAGTGAAATGCATTTTGAACGCATTATGATTACTCACTTTCCTCGGGCTTATTCCCTGCTATGCATTATGATTAATAACAAACTAATACATAAAAAACTAGCTAATAAAATTTTAAGTATTAAACAGAATACAATGTTTAAAAGGGACTCAGATTAAAAATTAAATCAGAACTGAATAGACTTTAAACGAACCTTCAACAAGTGATCATACTGGGTAACTTAAAATATTTAACTAAGAAATTAGAATCATTAATACAATTACATCGAAAAGAGCATTTAATGAATTATTCGATAAAAACAAAGAAGACCCTATCTCAGCTGAGACCGAAAGAAAAATATGTAATGTTGAATGTAGCATCGCTTTAGCGCTGTAACGTTATCTCAATATAAACACGGAAACGTGCTAACATGAGAGAAATTGTCCACACGACGCCTGTACGTTATGTCTGACTATAATCACACAGATGTCCTTAGTTTTGTATGACTCCTGATAGACCTGAGAGAAATTATGTCTTGAGTTTTTAGTTATAAGAAAATGCGGAGTTAAAATTACAGGAAACCATTGGTAGGCCGTGACAAGAGCTCGAGCATCGTTACTGGCTGGGTGGCTAAAAACAAAGCTAACAGGCCAAAAAGGCAGCAGGACAGTCAACTCTGAAACATTTGATAAAGACGATAGCACAAATTAAAATTGACCTGTCTTATATAAAGCATTATGTTCTTACCTGAATTTAATAGTTTAGATGAGCGTTCATGCAGTTGCGGTTTGTTGTTTGCGACATGCGCAGTGTGTACGTCGTTTAATTTCCATGCCTGGACAAAAACACTACGGCGAAGAGATCAGCTCATTAATATTAAGATTTGAATGTTGCCTGGCATCCAATCACGTAATACGATCCGCCCACAAAGTGTCCCTTATAGCAAATCAGCAACGAATATTTGACAAACGTTGAGTTACGTAATAAATATTAATTGGAACATCCTTCACTTTAGTAGGTTTGCGGAACTAAACTGAAAATGCGTTGTAGATTAATAATAAAGATGTTTATTACCAGTGAACTAAAAATTTTACATTAAAGTGAGAATAAAATCCACTTTACTGCCTCTTCTTTTTAATAACATTGCATTGAAAATACTGAATTACTTAATAGCAAAAATAAATTTGATAATGTAAACTGATATTTTCTGCTGACACATTAGATAGAAATAAGTCTTTATCTAGTAAAAATACGTTGAAATAATTTTGACCACCACTTGATGTAGTTACTATGTCGTTACAGTATTATAAATAATGCATAACCTAATTATGTATAATACTTGTAACTCAACGTATTTATTTTTATTAAGCTGAGTAAACATTATCAGGATAAATTGTACCCCACAAGAAAAAAAAACTGCTCACACAGAATTAAGTATTTATAAATGTAAGAATACAGAACGTTTCCTGTAAGGGTTGTGTATGTGAAAACTTGAATGGTTCTTAAGAAAGAGACTTATAAAGGTATAAAATATTTGAGATCTAACATGTGCATTTATCTGTGTGTATGGAATGTGTCCACTGTATTCAGGTGATATAGCCTATTTATGGGACATTTTACCAGAAACGTACATTTTCTGTCCCTGAAATAAAAACATAAATACAGTGAATAAAAACTATTTCAATCCAAACATTTCTAAAATGGACTGATGGTTGATTTCTGTGAGTTGGTCTGTACAGGAATATGACATACATTTAGTTCTCAGATATTTGTTCTTTATTATAAACACTTTAAGAACCCTGTCATTGTCCTTGTCCTCATCCCAATTGAACCTACAGCTTTAATAGTTTTGTAATGCTAAAAACTGCTATGTTGAAAAAAACAAACAAAAGAAATAGCAAGTTTAAGTTGTTGTCATTCACATCAATTTATTAAAAACAAAGTTATAAATGAATTTTACAAAAAAATACTACAAATATAAAACACCAATACATTTACAATTGTCCAAATGTTTCTGTCAGTCCTGTCACATTTGCATGAAATTTAACAACGTGTGCAATACACGTTTAAGGTTATGACTTGAAAGTGACATCATTTGAAGGAGGAAAAACTGACAGTGATCAAGGATGCGTTCTATCATTGAATTGTATGATTTTAGGCTTGTTTTTGTTTGATTTTTTTGAGGATGACAAGCTTAAGTCAGGCCCTGTCACATTTTTATGAGTGAAAATTTATGTCTTTGGTATAATGTCCCATATTTCAACATATTCTGTCTATCTGTCTGTCTGTCCGTTCATCCGTGTGTCCTTCCATCTGTCGGTCTGTCTGTCTGGAGAGCTAGGCTTATAAATTAAATATATCCTAATTTGCACAAGCATGTAGTCTGTTGCAATTGCTGCTGGTGCTGTTTTCACACCAAGTGGTGATGCAGCCAGACAGGATGTTCTCCACAGTGCAGGTGTAGAACGAGCAGAGAATGTGGGGCTCATTCCAAACCTCCTGACAAGGTTGGAGGTTAGACGAGGAGATATAATTTATCATATTTTTTTATTTTATGGAGCCAAGACATTTTTTGGTGTGTTTTAGGACTTTTAAGATTATTTTTCAATATTTACAGTTTTCAAATTGTGCAAAACACAATGTAAAATTATATACTTATACAATGCTTATTATATATGTGTCACTTAAGGGACAAAATTTAAAAAGAAAATTACTGAAAAATGAAAACAATGCACCAATAATGTTTCTCCTGGAACTGATAGGTTTTCTTTAGCACAGAAAAGAAACAGTTCCTCCGTATTGAGCAAACAACCTAGCTACATCTCGCAGCAAGGTCAAATGAACAGGCTTGGGAAATACTATCCTGCTGCTGTGGACACAGAAGGAGGAGAGGGAGTAGGGAAGGAGATCCCGTCCGTCCGGCAGTGATTTCTCATCCTCCCGCTGACGTCTTTAACTCCGCCTCTCCGCTCCCGCTGCCTGGCGCTCACAGTCTCTCTGCCCCCTCCAGACGGAGCAGCGGACGGAGCCCACCACCATTCGTCGCTGCTGCTGCTGTTTCTGTTGTTTTTCTGTGCCGATCTCCTGATATAATGGCCTCCGATGGTATGGATGAACGCTCCCCGCTGTTGTCGGCACCGAACTCGGGGAACGTCACGCCCACCGCTCCGCCGTACCAGCAGGACCCGAGCTCGAGAGGTAACCGAGATTGACGGAGGAGTGCTGAATCATTTAGGGCGTATAGTAGTGAGGGTTGATCTGTTGCAGACTACAGCCCGTTTAATATCATACATTGTCCTTAGACGACAGCTCGGATGGCAGTGCTAAAAGAACGGGCCTCGTTCTGGCTGAAATTGTTACCATCGCAGCCTCCATGTGATGGGTACAAAAACGTTGCTTTCCTGGGCAAGGGCACGCTGCTAGTTAGTGAACAAACCTTTTTGTGGGTTATTAAATGAGGATTGAAATATCTCGGTCGATTGATGCCGATTCAGCCAGCTGCAAATTTGCATTGTTCGAGATTGTTGCATCAGGATGAGGCTGTTGATATTTATGTTTTGCTTTCATTCATAAAGCTCTTTCAGTTATCACACTGGCCTAGACCTCATAATATTGGGTTTTTAAGCATATTAAACATTAGAAGAAATTAAAACACCTTTTTACACCTAAATAAGAGGCACTGCTAAATGTAAACAAAAGATGCACAGGGAGGAAAGATATAAATGAGAAGATGAGCGTTTTGGTTTGCAAATAGACTGTCAAAATTGTACAGATTTTGTATGTATAAATTTTAATTCACTAATTCGAATTTGCTGGTAAAGTTTTATTGTACAGTGTCAGTTTTAAAGGAGATCGAACATATTGAAAGGACAGTAAATTGTGCATCATTAAGCTAATCGTTACTCAGGTAGTTTGTACTTCTTTGGAGTAATAACAGGGGCACTTTAAAATAAGGTTCCACCTTGTGATTATTTTTTCATATATTGTTAGCAAAGCCACTTCTGACTTGCAGACAGGCCCAATCATTTTCTCAGTAAGGAAATTGATTGTCAATAACCAAAACCTTTAAAGACTCCAAGATTTTAATCAATTGTGATTTTGTCTAACCCAGCTTTTTATTTGCATAACATCAACTTTTTGTTTAATGACATTTTTGGAGAAGAAAACTTTAGTATAAAGTGTACAGAATATTTAGAGTAGCAGCAAAAAAAAAAAAAAAAAATTCATCTCAAATAAAGCTCAGAAAATGATGTACTCTACACTCTTGTTTGTGTGGATGTTTCCCAGAGGTGGGTTGCGGTTGGAAGGGCATCCGCTGCGTAAAAACTTGCTGGATAAATTGGTGGTTCATTCCGCTGTTGCGACCCCGGATTAATAAAGGGACTAAGCCGAAAATGAATGAATGAAGAATATATTATATAAAATATTAAAATGCTATATATTAAATATTTAGCTTACAACACCTATAGTTTTACGTTTTACCAGTCGTGTTGTATTATTGTATTATAGAACTTATTGATCAATGTTAATAAGTTTCTTTAAACATATACTTTTAGATGATGATTTTAATATGGAAATTATTCTTAAAATCACTTTGCCTTTTCAGTCATATTGATTTTCATAGGTATTGTAATAAAAAAGGAGTTGTTCAACACTTTTGTATCTTTTTTTTATGAGAACAATGGTGTACCTCCATTTCAGATGTACCATAAAAGGTACAGAACAGTATCATAAGAGGTCTTTTCTGTACTATATAAGGTACAATTTTTACAAAGGTACAAAACTGTTCCACAAGGAACATTATTTGTACCACCGTGTACCTTTTTTCTCTGAGAGTGTAGTCAATAAATTATTTGTAAACATGTCATTATTTATGGATATTATGCAACAAAGTTGACATATTGTCTCTACTAATTAAGCTACACCTAATAACTTTAAATGGAAGTTTTCATATTTTGATAGTGTAGTTCACACAAGGCTTCATGGCACTGTATTTCTTTCCCTTATCAAAAACTGTTATGTACACAGTTTTGTACCTTTTGTCTTCTCTGATTTTTCATTCGTTTGGTCTTATGGTTTAAATTTTTTGTTTCATATCAGTTTTTGTAATCTTGTGATTTACCACATAGCAGATTAGTTTTAAGGAATAAGACTTTGTTTAAATTCTTGAAAACTGAAAGGGAAAACTGCAACTGATGTTGTTGTAATTGTAGACGTGACGTGAAATAAAGCACATATAGTGCTCAATTGAAATGGGATTAGTGATTGATTGTCAGATTTGTTTTTTTATTTTCATTTCCTCTAATCATGAACAGATGCATATTTGATTATTAGGCTGTAATGAGAAATTCAAGGGAGAATGCCTAAAATTGACCAGAAAGGTCAAGGTTTGCATTAATCTTTTGATGGTATACTTTATAATTATTTTGTATATTTAATAGTAAAGCAAGTTTTGTAAGGTAGATTTAGAAACAATGGCCCTGTGCTGCCCTATTTTTAAACCATGCCAAGACAGCAAATACTCAGTTAATCAATTGGGTTTTTAATAACCAATTTTAATGCAAAATGTCCTTGAATTTGACTAAATATTTGAAAACAAATAATCACCTTATGCATCTCTTAGTTTGCCAATTGTAAATGATTATTGGCCAGTTGCTTATGGTTCCAAAATGACCAAATGTCTGATTGCAAAACAGTCACGTCTGTCAGCCAGATTTTGATTATTTGTAAATCTATCCATACTGCATTTCCTGCAATATGCATATACACAGAAAAAAAAATGGGCGAAGCAGTGGCGCAGTAGGTAGTGCTGTCGCCTCACAGCAAGAATGTCGCTGGTTCAAGCCTCGGCTCAGTTGGCATTTCTGTGTGGAGTTTGCATGTTTTCCCTGCGTTCGCGTGGATTTCCTCCGGGTGCTCCTCCAAAGTCCAAAGACATGCGGTACAGGTGAATTGGTTAAGCTAAATTGTCCGTAGTGTATGAGAGTGTGTGTGAATGTGTGTGTGGATGTTTTCCAGAGATGGGTTGCAGCTGGAAGGGCATCCACGGCGTAAAAAATTACAAATGGATAAGTTGGTGGTTCACTCTGCTGTGGTGACCCCGGATTAATAAAGGGACTAAGCCGACAAGAAAATGAATGAATGAATGAACAGAAAAAAATGCTCACTTTTACTGTAATTATCCGCTTACACTTCATCTCATTATTTATAACGGCTTTAATATTGTACCATGATCAGTATAGATTCTGACGGTATGATAACCTTGGATAAAATATCATTGTTTCACAGTATCACAGTGTTGTGATTACTGCTCTAAAACATATTCTTTTTAAATGTCTGGGTAAAAAACGAAATCTTTTTTCTCCTTTAAAAACAAAATATCTTATTTTTTTTGAAAGATTTGTAATATTTCGCTGTCTTCATTGGTTTCAAAAACACAAATTTCTTTACTATTTAAAACGACATCTTCGGATATTTTTTCTGCTGGAGATACTGTTGTCCTAAAAAATGTAATCAATCAAAAATTGTACACATACCAAAGGAACTGTATTACAGAAAATTTTGCGATTTTAAAACCTTGACTTTTCTAAACCGTGGTATACTTCAATAGTGATTATCGTCCCATTCCTAATGATCAGGTGATGTTGTGGTTGTAAACTATGTGTGCTAATGTACTCAAGCTTTATTATCTGGCCTAGTATTTCAAACCCCTGGATTACGGTTTCCTTCACTGCTTTTGACCACAAGCAAGCACTCTCTGAGGATTAGCCTAGCCTGTTGATGGAGGATCTGCTGAGTCTGTGCACAGCATTGCTTAGTGTGCTGAGATTGTTGTTTATTCTGCATTTGCATTTGGATGCCAAAACTAGATTTATCGCAAAACACCTGTGCAAATCAAACCCTGTTATTGTAGAATCGTGAAAGTTACAGTCTGCTACTTCTTTAGTAGTAATCAGTAGTGTTTGACATCTGAGTGAGAGAACAAAGGATAAGAAAGAGTTTTGACCTTGTCTAAATGACACTGAATGGGTTTTATTTTGGTGATATGTGATCAGCCCTGCAAGGCGAAAACCAGACCAATTATTGCTCTCTGCTCTGTTTATGTCATGCGATTTCTGCTAGGTCCACACAAGATAAATAAAGATAAACAAATGTTAGCTAATTGAAACTCTTGAGGTTTAGCTGTAAGGTGGGGATGGGCAAGACGTGGATCAGCTGTAGGACTGGGCTGTTAATCGAATTTTATTTTTAATTACAATTTTTGCTTTCATTGATTATAGAAATGTTACATAAAATAGAATATGTTGTATTCCATTTCAATATAAAGGACATGGTCATCAGTTTTGAAAGATTTATATTTAATCTATTCAGACAATAAGACTTAATTATTAAATAATTAATTAATAATAAATACGATTCTTCATTTAAATGTTAGCCTTGTAAACAATCAACGACATGTAGCGCTATTGCGCTTCAGGCATCCTGAATTCCTGACCACCCACTAAACAACCTCAATTCCTGAGTAGCAACTGTCCCAAAGAAAAAAAAAACTTGTAATAAAAATATAATAAATCAATAATAATAGCTATATGCTATTTATCTGTATTGGGCAGAACTGCATGCTAAAAATAATAGTTATTTCAGGGTTTTTTGTAACTATAGTATTATTTTTTATACCATATTGTTATAATATAGTGTTATTATTCATACATCTGTTTACACACTCACTGGCCACTTTATTACTAGTACTGAGTTGAACCCAGTTTTGCCTTCAGAACTGCCTTAATTATTGTAGCATAGATTAAACAAGGTACTGGAAAGATTCCTCAGAGATTTAGGTTCATATTGACAAGATAGCATCACGCATTTGCTGCAGATTTTTTGGCTACAAAATACACATTCATGATGTGAATCTCCCGTTACATCACATCCCAAAGGTGCTCTATTGGATTGAGATCTGGTGACTGTGGAGGCTATTTGAGTTCAGGGTACTCTTGTTATGTTCAAGAAACCAGTCTGAGATGATTTGCGCTTTATGACATGGCACGCTATCCTGCTGGAAGTACCCATCAGAAGATGAGTACACTTTGGTTATAAAGGGATAGAAATGGTCAACAACAATAGTCAGGTAGACTGTGGTGTTGACACAATGCTCAATAGGAACTAATGGTCCAAAAGTGTGCCAAGAACATGCCCCA